CAGCGGCAGCAGCTGCCACCAACGCCGCCATAGCAGAAGCAATGAAAGTGAAAAAAATTAAATTGGAAGCTATGTCCAACTATCATGCAAATAATAACCAGCATGGAGCAGACTCTGAAAATGGAGACCTGAATTCAAGTGTTGGTAAGTCTCAGGCACAGCGTTATTATGCGTCCATAATGCTCTGATATTTTATTAAAAGTGATCCTTCCAGGCTTCCTTCTGAAGTCCGTGATTTGGTGTAAAAAGTTGCATATTTGTTTTCCTTTTCTTACTGCTTTTAGTTTAGTTTTTTATCTGACCTTTACACCAGCATTCGGCGTTGTTGTTACTATTACAAAAACATTCTTTCCTTTGCAGGTTACTTTTGCAGACTCCAGTTAATATTTTCCATGAAGGAAAGTGGTTTGATTGCTTAGAGTTCATTTTTCAAAGTACAGGTGGGGTGACAGATGATGGTGTCAAAGTGAAATTTAACAATGTCTCCTGCTCAGTGTGCTGGGTATCGACTTTAGGTAATTCAGAACACAAGCTTGAAAGCAAAATATTTCATACTTCCATGTGCCCTGTGACAAAAGGAAAACATACATACACAATAAATTATTGCCATGCTCTGCAGTTCCTATCATATTTTATTTTAATAAACACATTCTTAAAATGTAGTTAACAGGTTTTTCCATTTCTTAAGCAGCCATCAGCAACTCTTGTTCTTTCTCAAAAAAGAATTGTTTCAGTATACTTTATTCATTTGTTTGGACAATTTGTTTTGCTAAAGCATACTTCAAAGCTACTGTAACTTTTTCTTGTTGTTGATTAAATCTTTAATCATCTGTGTGTGTCTGCTGTAAAATGTTTTGTTATGCCATTTCATTGTATTGGCTCCTTTTATCATGTTGAGACGGTATTAACTCAGCAACAGAAATTCAATGACAAAGAGGTATGTTCAGAAGACTGCAGGCAAGATTGGTGTATGCTGGAAAAAATGGCTTAAGATAGGGATTTTTTGTTTTTATTTTGGCTCTTTTGTTTAGTTTTGTTTATTTTTCAGTTTTTCATCTCCTAAATACATTTGAAATGAGTCTTAGAGAGTTACGTACTAGCCTTAACATAAATAAGCGTTTGTGAACAGCATTTCTGTACAGTTTGGTAGGCATTGGTAGGCTATTATTTAGAAATAATGTGAATTGCAGTTCAAAGAACCAGTTCACCTAGGCACACGCTGTTTTAAATAACAACAGTTTGTATGCATTACTGCATAAGGAGGCAACCAGATTGTTTGTTTTCCTTTTAAACAAAGGCTTACAAAATGCCTTGTGATGGTGAAGAAAATAGTCTTAAATAAGTTGTGTTAGTACTCAGATACCAACATGTGCAGTCACTAGAATATTAGTGGGAAGATTGCCCTCTTGGAGAGAAAACAAGAGCGGGTAGAGAGCAGGCATCTTTGAAATCTGGGTGGAGGAGATAGGTACAAAGGAAGTGGAAGGACCAGGTGGCCCCTAAGGCACTGGAAGAAAAGTGAAGAAAGGAGAAAGAATAAAAAATACAAATACAAACTGGGAGGATAAAGAATCTGTACTAGAAGTAGAAGCTACTTTAGATTTGAATTTCAGACTTAGTTGAATGCATTATGTGAAACAGAATGTTCATATATTGGATTATGGAACTGTTATTCTGCTTGACAGTACCACTTGCACATCCATGTAAATGGAAGAGTTAACAGGCAATCAACATGTAAACCACGTGAAATATTTGTAGGAGAGTGGATGGAGGGAATATCTGACTTGTCTCTGAATAAAAAAGAAAAAAAAATCTATTTTGAGATCATTGTCTGAGGCATAATTTAGATAACTAATTTGCTCTTACACAGCTTAATCATTTTCCCTGTTTAAGAAAATACATTCTAGCTATTTTAGTGGGGCAAAGTTGGCGAAGCAGGATTATTTATTGTCATTGTCAAAATTTCCTCTCAGTCCCTTAACTTACTTGTTAACTTCAGTTAATTTCCCGATTTAACTGAATGAAGAATTGAGTTCATTTTGTTCAGAAAAAAAATGGATCTTCTGAGTAGAGTGAATAGCATACCAGTTGTCTCCATTCCATGAGGAATGGTTCTGGAAATGCAGTGTGCTTGTCTGTGCATCCAGTCTTGAGCTATACTCTTCCCATGGAGGTTTTCTCAAAAAATAGTTTGCATTTATTTGTTTCTTTTAGAGTGAGCCCTATCTAGTGTCCAGTGTTGGTTATGCCTATGGAATCAGAGAAGTGATTCCTACTACTAATAATGTCAAGATAGGTTCATTAAGAGTTAAGTATCTATTTCTTAGTTGCATTTTTGAAAGTTAGGATATTGTATTATCTTGACAAGAACTCATATTTCAAAGGTATTGCTTTATAATAGGTGTGGTTTTTTTCCCTGCATTTTTTTCAAATGTTTATTTATGTCTTTTAAAATAAATATTATCAAGTCCATATTCCATTAAAATTTTAAATTGCAACTTGTTAGGCATGAGTTTAAAATACTACATTACTGAATGTTGACAGGAAGAAGGAATAAAACGAAAGAAAATAACCTGATTTTGGTTTATATTTTAAATTATGTTATGTGCCTGACCAAACTGAAAAGGAACAAACAAACTAACCAAGCAGGCTAAAAGCTTAACTGATACATTTCAGCCCACATGTGACAGGCATTATGGTATATTAGTCTGCATGGATTGATCGTACCATGTTCTTAGGCTGTTCCAGTGCCTATGTAAAAGAAGATAAATAAAATACGGGGTCTTGGGTTGAATTGTCAGGTTGACTTCTGAATTGTCTGGCTTTTTGGTTTTAATCAGATGCTTAATGTGAATTATAGAAATCATTTTTGTAGATGAACATTGTATAATTATACAGAGTACTACACAAATTTATTAACTTGGTCCTTTGAAGCAATGGCCAAAAGGTTAGTGAGTGAAGGGAGTTAAAGGAAGCCAATGTGACTAATAAGTAATTATTTTATATCCCTCAGTTTTGTATTGTAACCTTGAGCTGGCATCCTCCCACCAGAATTATCATTTTAGAAGGGGGGAAAAAAAAAGAAGAAAAAAAAAAAAGAAATTACAGAGGAATCAGAGTGAGGTATTAGCACACTGAGTAAAATATATGGCTGCAACGCCTTTCTCCCCCATCCACAATCAATTGGATTCTTTTAGTTTAATATTTACTTGCTAAGATGAGATGCTAGTCTGCATGGTGATAAACAGTCTGCTACTGGCATCTGAAGGTGACCTGTCAGTTCATATGGACAAATCTCCTGCTTACTGAAATGTACAAAATAAATCATTAAAGCAGGCAGGTGCTCATTCCCAGATTTAAATCACCATAGATTTATGATTTGAATTAATGCTTCATTTGGTCATAGAAATAGATGCTGAGACAAATGATATGCAGTGGTTGGGGCTTCCATACTGTAGCCATCCTAATATTGATTACTGAGATGTCTTTGCAATCTCTTGTTTATATCAAGTACTGTCTTGTGACAGCTTGGCTGATATGAGCTACATTGCAGATAAGAAGGAAAAATGTCCTGGGTTCTTTTTAGTGGCAATTCTACATACAACATGCAGGACAGATAAATTACTGTTTTTTTGTTTAAAAAATGAATTCCGCATGGCAGCAAACAAAAAAAGATTATGCTGTGTGTTGGTTTTTTTTTTTTATTTTTTTATTTATTTAATTGCAGAATTAAATGAAAGAGAGTGACAAGGTCAAACTTTAAATTTCATTGAAGGGGTTCTGCTCTTTGTCATATTAACGTCTTAGGATGATATTAGGATCAGTTGTATATTTACCGTCTAATACTCCAAAGTTGTAGATAGGTAGAGCAGCTCAATTATTTCCTTGCTGCTTAAGTACTTACTGCCCTGCTATCATACTTCATTAACCTGCAGCAGCAAAAGATAGAAGCCTTTGAAAATAAATATGTTTAAAGCTATTTCTGTGGTGTGGGCTTTGCTATCTATAACTTGATAGGAAGTGAAGAACAGTCCCTATACTTTTGCTTCCCAAACATTTTATATAATGAAAACACTATGCATACACTTCAGGGAATACTCAAAGGATTTGTAAAGACCTTTGCCACTTGCTAAAATCTGACTCATAAAACTTGTAAACAACTATCAACAATAGTAAATTACTTGCTTAGTAGGAAATGAGTTCATATCTATTCAAAATGTGATCTCAAAACAGATGTCCCAAGAAAATGTCATTGTTTAAACTACATCCATACAAAAAAAATGCTATTATTTCTTTAAGGAAGTGAAGCAATCATGAAGACTTTGGTGTTCTCAGTTTCTAAACACAGTTAGGAAATACAAAGTAACATTTTACACTTGGCTAGCATGTTAATCCATAAACAACCACAAAATGTGTTGAAAATTAAGAGGTTTTCTTGGCATGTTAGGTTTCCTATTCATCCACATTACCTTGCAATATTTAAAATTATGAGACAAATGCAAGGTTTCCTGTGATCCGTTGTTCAAAAGTAACGGTTGCTTGCATACTATTATTCTTTTTTTTTCATCCAGAATCAGAGATAAAATGATTTAGGTGAAATTATTTTTCTCCAGTGACCTTGCCCAATAATAGAACAGTACAAAATGCAGTCATTTCCTTTTTCTAAACACACGTGTCTATTTTGAAGGAAAGAATTACTTTTATGGTTTCAGGAAAAAGTCTTGGAGACCTTGAAAAAGCAAATAAAAGGAAACAGAGAATGCAGGCCACTGAGCACAGCTCTGCAGTTGCACATCTGATTCTCTGCCTTGGCAATGTTAATGAACCTCAAATCCTCCCTATAATTAGATGAGGGAATTGCTTATATTTTCAAACAGATGATGCTGCTATAATGAAACGATTGACAGGGAACTTAAGAGTGTCTACAGTAGTCATTTGGTTTCCGGGTTTTGGTTTTTTTTTTTTCTTTTCTCTTTTTTTTTTTTTTTTTTTTTTTTTTTTGTGTTAAAAAAAAATTTGGTT